CCAAAATTGTGAAATTCATGGCCCTGGCGTCAGGGGTTCAAGTGCTAGGGCGGGGCTAAATAAGTAGTGAAAAAGCATTATTTCTTTGAAAATCTTCTTCTCTGCTCTTGGGTATTAAATAAACTAACTATAAGTGCATAGTTATTATGAGCAAGAGTGCCTCTACGAAAATTATGAATTTTATGGCCCCAGGGTCAGGGGTTCTGGTGTTAGGGCGGGGCTCTATTGATTATATAGTGAAAATACTATTACATGAATTCTTTGAAAATATTCTTCTCTGCTCCTGGGTATCAAATAAACTAACTAAATGCATAGTTATGATGAACACGAGTGCCTCTACAAAAATTAATAATTTTATGGCCCCAGGGTCAGGGGTTCTGGTGTTAGGGCGGGGCTCTATTGATTATATATTGAAAATGCATGATTTCTTTGAAAATCGTCTTCTCTGCTCCTGGGTATTAAATAAACTAACAAAGTGCATAGTTATGATGAGCAAGAGTGCCTCTACCAAAATTGAGAATTTCATGGCCCCAGGGTCTGGGGTTCTGGTGTTAGGGCGGGGCTCTATTGATTATATAGTGAAAATGCATGAATTCTTTGAAAATATTCTTCTCTGCTCCTGGGTATTAAATAAACTAACTAAGTGCATAGTTATGATGAGCAAGAGTGCCTCTACCAAAATTGTGAATTTTATGGCCCCAGGGTCAGGGGTTCTGGTGTTAGGGCGGGGCTTTATTGATTATATAGTAAAAATACATGAATTTTAAAAACTTCTTCTCTGCTCCTGGGTATTAAATAAACTAACTAAGTGCAAAGTTTGATAAGCAAGAGTGCCTCTACAAAAATTAATAATTTTATGGCCCCAGGGTCAGGGGTTCTGGTGTTAGTGCGGGGCTCTATTGATTATATAGTGAAAATGCATGAATTCTTTGAAAATATTCTTCTCTGCTCCTGGGTATTAAATAAACTAACTAAGTGCATAGTTATGATGAGCAAGAGTGCCTCTACAAAAATTGAGAATTTCATGGCCCCAGGGTCAGGGGTTCTGGTGTTAGGGCGGGGCTTTATTGATTATATAGTAAAAATACATGAATTTTAAAAACTTCTTCTCTGCTCCTGGGTATTAAATAAACTAACTAAGTGCAAAGTTTGATAAGCAAGAGTGCCTCTACAAAAATTAATAATTTTATGGCCCCAGGGTCAGGGGTTCTGGTGTTAGGGCGGGGCTCTATTGATTATATAGTGAAAATACATGATTTCTTCGAAAATCTTCTTCTCTGCTCCTGGGTATTAAAAAACGAACTAAGTGCATAGTTATAATGAGCAAGAGTGCCTCTACCAAAATTGTGAATTTTATGGCCCTAAGGTCAGGGGTTCTGGTGTTAGGGCGGGGCTTTATTGATTACATAGTGAAAATACATGAATTCTTTGAAAAATTTCTTCTCTGCTCTTGGGTATTAAATGAACTAACTAAGTGCATAGTTAGGATGAGCAAGAGTGCCTCTACAAAAATTAAGAATTTTATGGCCCCAGGATCAATAAAGTGCCTCTATTGATTATATTGTGAAAATGCATGATTTCTTTGAAAATCTTCTTCTCTGCTCCTGGGTATTAAATAAACTAACAAAGTGCATAGTTATTATGAGCAAGAGTGCCTCTACGAAAATTGTGAATTTTTATTGCCCCAAGGTCAGGGGCTCTGGTGTTAGGGCGGGGCTCTATTGATTATATAGTGAAAATGCATGAATTCTTTAAAAAATCTTTTTCTCTGCTCCTGGGTATTAAATAAACTAAGTGCATAGTTATGGTGAGCAAGAGTGCCTCTACGAAAATTGTGAATTTTATGGCCCCAGGGTCAGGGGTTCTGGTGTTAGGACGGGGCTCTATTGATTACATAGTGAAAATACATGAATTCTTTGTAAAATTTCTTCTCTGCTCTTGGGTATTAAATGAACTAACTAAGTGCATAGTTAGGATGAGCAAGAGTGCCTCTACAAAAATTAAGAATTTTATGGCCCCAGGATCAATAAAGTGCCTCTATTGATTATATAGTGAAAATGCATGATTTCTTTGAAAATCTTCTTCTCTGCTCCTGGGTATTAAATAAACTAACAAAGTGCATAGTTATTATGAGCAAGAGTGCCTCTACGAAAATTGTGAATTTTTATTGCCCCAAGGTCAGGGGCTCTGGTGTTAGGGCGGGGCTCTATTGATTATATAGTGAAAATGCATGAATTCTTTAAAAAATCTTTTTCTCTGCTCCTGGGTATTAAATAAACTAAGTGCATAGTTATGGTGAGCAAGAGTGCCTCTACGAAAATTGTGAATTTTATGGCCCCAGGGTCAGGGGTTCTGGTGTTAGGACGGGGCTCTATTGATTACATAGTGAAAATACATTTAATCTTTGAAAATTCTCTTCTCTGCTCCTGGATATTAAGCAGATGAACTACCTAATATATAGATATGTTGGATAAAGGTCCTAATCTTCCAGAATTGTGAATTTCAAGGCTACTGATTATTGCTGAATATTACTGATTAGTTGAAATGCATTTTTTGTTCCCCTACCAGCATTTGGGAATTAAGTAAACAAACTAAACAACTGCTAAGTGTATTGTTATGATAATCAATGGTTCCTCTTTCAAAATTGTGAATGCCATAGCATCTGGCTTAAAACATAAATCAAATTCAATCACTGGAAAGTTGTTGCATAATACTCAGGTGACCTGTAAGGCCCATGGGCCTCTTGTTGTATTCATATGAAGCAGACTTTGTGCAAAATCTTATGCATGAAAAAAAAACCACTTGCTGTGGCTTTCAACTCTACATTTAAATATGTCGACGACATATTGTCAATTAACAATGGCAATTTCCATTCTTATATCGACACAATATATTCCGGTGAGCCTGAGATAAAAAATAATACAATGTTTGACACATCTGTATTTCACTTGAAAAATTTAAACAATAAAATGCTTTCTTTTTTTTTGGTTATTACTGGAATTAACGGAAGCAGCCGTTGCAGAAGAAATACATAACCCGTGTATGTAATTTTTTTCTGCAATAGCTGCGACCGTTAATTCCAGTAATAACAAAGAAAGAGAGACATTTTTTTTTATTGTTTATATATATATATATATCTGTTAAGATAATCCTTTTAAGAAGAATTAAAAAGTTTAATTATTATATTAATAGTGCGAACGTCTATGTACGTTTCATTGATGGAACAGCCACTGATCAAGAAATATGTACAGGCGACATGCCTAAATAAATGTAGTTCATGCAGTGATTAACGCAATGAGTTTTCTTAAGAAATAAAGGAGAAAATTTTCAGTGGATGTAAATATATGTTAATGGTAATCGAACAACCAAGCTCTATGATAAACGTGATGACTTTAACTTGTCTATTGTCAACTACCCTTACTTAATGCAGCAATGTACCTTCATCACCTGCATATAGAGTTTATAAATCTCAGTTGATTCGATACGCAAGAGCTTGCTCTAAGTGTGGACAATTTTTAGAACGAGGTGAATTATTCATAAACAAGTTGATGAAACAAGAATATCAGTAGTCTGGTTTAAAGTCATCATTTCGTACGTTTTATGATCGATACAATGACCTTGTCAGCAAATACAAATGATCATTACTCAATGCTGACTGACCTTTTTCATACTAAATGTTAGTCCATTATTTATACACTGCATTGATGACAGATTTTTCCGTGATTTCCCGATCTTGACAAGGACCTCACGGCGGGAATGACCGGTCGGCAGGGGATGCTCACTCCTCCATGGCACCTGATCCCAGCTCTGATGTTTTGGAGGTCTATGTTTGCCCCGCTCATTTTTTGTAATTTTTTTAATGGACTTTTGACCTCGAAAACTGTTCGTCATCTCCATATGTTTTATTCCTGACTATCTTCTGGCAGATAGTTCGCAATACCCACAAGGGATCCTAGCAACCGCTAAACGATTAATCGCCACTTAATAGAAGTATCATGTTTTGTTAATGGTTTTAATGAATATAGAAGAAGAAGGTATGGTTTCCATACAGATTTTGCCCTGTGATTTTCTCAAAAATGAAACAGGTGTAAAAGTTGAAAAACTCATGCCTTTTGAATAATTGAAATTTAATGCAGAAAAATCATACAAGTCATTTTTCTCACATGTGTTTTTAAATGCTAATTATGACGTCATAAACATGTGCATTTTCCCGTATTTTCTTAAAAAGTTGCAGAAGACACCAATTTTCAACGGAATTTTCTTTCAGATGACATTGTCCACAGGCATCGCCCACAAAGATCTTGAGATATGTGATTTGTTATTGAATTTTGCACAAAATATCAAAAATAAACGTGGGCGACGGCTGTGGACACTGTTTTCTAAAGGAAAATCACACTTGAAATGTGCCATTTTGAGGCTTTTTCTGTTGAAAATAGAAATTAAAATGCTTCACGTTAATGACGTCATATTTGCAGAATGGTAAATCTTCATGCCATATTCTTTCCTGATTTATCAGAGTCATTTATCTAACTGATATTTAAGGCAGTTTCAAAACTTTTTTATGTCATTACATTTTTAGGGCGCAACAAAGCTAAAACCATACCTTCTTCTTTGTAAAATAATTAGCAAAGTAAGTCATCTTAAAATTATTGATAAGAAAGAATACATTCATTCTGACGTAATTTTTATACTGATAAGACTACGTTGCATTTGTCTTACCGGTATTAAATTACTCGTATAAAGCTACACGTACGCAAACATACTTACAAACTTTATCCAATCACTTACACACACACCCTCTCACACACCCTCACACACAATTATAGAGATGAAATTTTGCCACCAAAATGGCCTATGAATATTTAAGTGCCAAATCTAGCAAAATAAATTTTTAAAGAAATTTATTAGTAAGAGAGATATTTGTTATAAACTTCACGACCGGATTTGAATAAATGTTACAAAGCGCTGCCTTTGAATATTTCCGCCTGACATGTTAAATTCTATAATTCTTGTAGGTATTTGCATTCATAAATGCTGGGATTTTTAGATCTGCGATCACCAACTGCAAGAAACATATCATCTCCATCTGTACACATTGCCAAAGGATACGATTTACGAAATGATAATTCAAAATAACCGAGAAATTGCCCATCTTGGTCTATGATGTGGATACAACTATTTTTCCAATCAAGGGTAAGGATGTAACCTTGACTGTCTGTGCTGATTCCCTTTGGCTTGCATGGACTATTCCACAAAGCATTCCCGGTGTACCTAAATCTCAGTTTCCCGGCCTGATCAACCACCACTACTGCCCCAGCTTCAAAGTCAGCCACACATATATCAAAGTTTCTGTTCTCACTTATGCATTTGCATATTCCAGACGAATATAAAGGTTTATTTTCATTATCAAATTGGACGGTTTGTTTCACATACATGTTTGAGTAAGGATATTTGACAACCTTTACTTGTTTTTCCTCATAACATTCCATGATAACCAGGAGGTCACCAGAAGAGTTTATATACATATCACAGTATCTCCAATTCTCAAGACATATATTTTCCATTGATTCGTTCATTTTATTAACAGAAATATTTTTATTATCATAATTATAAACAATATAAGCCAGTTTTCCATTATTTGTTACTGATATATCCGTAACTCTATTTGGTGTCTCGGTTGTGATAGACTTGACAAGCGAAACCTGATCGAATTCAAGAATTTGCATTTTATCTCGACTGCTTATCAATATTTTTTTACTTCTATCTTGGCTAATCCCTTCATCACTTTTATCAATTATTTGTATTTTGGAGGCTCTGAAGTCTGGTTTTTCAGTTAGGTGTTTAAGTATAGGTAAGCTATATTCTGTTTTCATGCTGTAGCCTTGTTTTTCTTTTCTGAAGGTGAGACTAGTTAAATTACCAAACATATCTAGAAATTTACTCGGAGTAATTTGTAATGGAGTGAAAACTGGAATATCTCCAACAGGCTTTTGAGGGAGCTGTCTGTATTCTTCATTTAATGATGTATAATTCAAACAGAGTGAAATATCATTGGACTCCATTAAATTTTTACATTGTTGTACGCTATCTTGAATTGTTCCCAATCTTTTGTTGACATCATCTTGGTGTTCTTTTAGAAGATTGATGTGTTTGGTTTTCATCTCCTGTACTGAAGAGCTGAGTTTATTTACACATTTGTCTACCTCTTTGTGCCAGTCTTGTCCGTGTTTTGTAATATCTTTTTTGATATTATCGTAAATGAGTTCTATCTGCTTCAGTCGCAATTGTACACTTGATTTAATGAATTGATATGTAGGAATGATAGTTTCTTTGAGTTCTTCAAAATCTTTATTAATGGCATCCTTTCTAAACCTAAGTATATCAGATATTATAGAGAGATTGTGATTCCTGTGTATGTCGGTAGAAATGACACACTTAAGGCAAAGTGGAATGTTACAGTCTTTGCAGAAACATTCACAAAGGCTGTCGGAATGACTGGCACACTGCGGGAAGATGGGAGTAGATTTCTTGTCCTTGTAGTCGACAATTTTGTGAGTTTTTGAGAGATCTTTTGAAAAATGTTCTCCTACACAGAGTTTGCACAGATTAACAAGACACGCATCACAGTGCATTTGTACTTCATTGTTCTTGCAAATGTCACATCGCATCATGTCTTGGGCAGTGGTTGAGGTCGCCATGAATTTGAAGCTTTGTAAAGACGGATCACACTTATTTGCTAAACAATAAAGATCATACTTAATACCAGTATTTCCAAGTCAACTGTTTTTGTAAAATGTTAAAAATAATAGCAAACAGAATTTTGGAGAACATTGTGTACATATTGTGGAGGATCGTAATTTAGAAATTCAATTTCAGAACCAACAGTCTTGTAAGCTAATGCAAAATACTGCAAAACATTGCACTTATACCTGATTATGTGTAAACAAAGAAGATATGTTTTTAATGATTGCGATTTTTTTCAATGGCTTAATGAACGAATGTAGTAAAAGATAAAAACATGATCATATAAAATATTTTTTTTTAACTTTTTATTTTCAAAAATATTTTTCTAGCTATTAGCATTCTTATTCAAAAATAGGATTTTAAAACGTCAAACAAATTGAATAGTAAGTTAATGGTCCCAAGGAGTTAAATTTGATTAAATTACATTTAAAAATGTTGAATTCGACTCCCAAAAGTCTTTCAAAATTCTAGAGAAGGAATTCTATAGAGAATGAAAGAAACTTACCTGCCTCAGTACGTTCACCCCATACGCCCCTTTTTTGCGATCTGATTTATGACTGTCACATGAAATACATATTACTTACTGATAAAAACTTGTCTCTTCTGTATCTTGTTTACCTAGATAGAGATGTGAACTGTATATATAATATATAGTATCTATTATGTCTGTCACTGCCAGTTTACTTAAAGATTAAAATTCGTAAATATGTTTCACTCGCTGACCTAAGTGCATCTATGGCAACCGGAAATGTACAAAAAAATTTGTTGTTAAAAATATTTACCTTAATTTTCTTTTAATTGTCATTAACTCTTTTCTTCTTACATAATATGGATTACAACTGCTCATACAAGTCATTTTTATTGTAAGTACTGGAGTTATTGAAGTTGATATTGACTTCAAAATTAGATGTAATATGTTGTCTTGTCCACTGACATCTGATTCCATTTCTGGTATATATGTATCTGTGAAGGATAATTGAAGCTTAGTGGAAGGGCATTGACTTTCTTTTGGAAAAAAGTCAACGTTTAGGACATACGTAGCTGAATATTGTATGAAAGGTGATATATTGTTGTTGATTCTTTATATGTCAAACTGAAGGCCATAGCAAGATAGAAACGTTTTTTCTATTTTGTTCTAGAGTTTTATTGAACAAACCATGCTTCATAATATTGTAAATCATGTACGCTAGTAGAGGGTCACACAAATATCCTATGAAAATTCCAACAGATTGTTAAAAGACCTGGTCTCCAAAGATACCATTTATATTATTTTTACTTAAACTCAGTTGTCTTCAAATGTAAACTTTAGAGTACTTAGTATTTTTGTGTTAAGGATCAAAATGTTTATTTTTATAACTAATTAGGTTAACAGAACCTCAATAACAAGAAATGTATTTTTCTGATCCATTATTTGGTTTAGTTTAAGAAGTATTTTTTTCATAATATACAAAGAGTACAATATGAATATTATTTGGAAGAAAAAGTCATTTATAATTATGTCCAAAAACTAATTTTATTTTATTTTTCGTACGTAAGGCGTGGTTGTAAAAAGATTAAAGTAGTAAGATTTAATGGTATTGACTTTTCAAAAAAAAAATCGTAGTCTCAAATTAAGAAGATGGGCGCATTTGGCGGGTGATCTGCAGGAATCATTTGTACGAAACATTTATGGTTTAAATGTCCATGATTTGGTTGGCTGAACATACCTGGTCAGATTTTACAAACACGTCCATGGTTTTTTTTTTCATTTAGTTTGAAAGACATTGTGAAATTGTAACATTTATGTCCATTTTTTTCTAGGGGGTACTATAACATAGTAATATTTCACAAAAAATAAAACCTAAAATATATTTAGTGCATAGATGCATGATACGTGTACATGTACATTATAAAATAGTAAATTAGAATTGATTTCGCTTGAGAACCAATCTGAACAAAAATTTATCTAATTCAAAATTTTAATACATCAGTACATAAAACGAAACTGACAAAATAAATGGTTGCTTGCCTGAATAAAAAAAAATTAACGCCCCATGCCAGGCTCGAACCAAAAACTTTTCGCTTCGAGTGCACTGAACAGGTAGCCTAACTTTCTGAGCTATCACCACTACACATTTATAAGAGTCTTTAAAAGGACAAAGACGCACGACATTGACACAATTGGATTTTCTGGGAAAAAGTTCATTTTTCATGGTCTCTGGGTCTTCTCTCCATTTTTCAAAAAAGTGTAATCGTTTCTTTGAATTAAAATACACTCAAATAGCGTTTCAAAATCATGGAGAGAAGACCCAGACATAGAAAATTTTTAGAAAAATGTGTTTCAAAATGTACAATTTTGTACCAAATGTCTGATATGGCCAATTTTCAAGTTATTTTTTAGCGAATAAAAGCTCAATTTTGGGAAAATATTTTCCGTTCCTGTTGCACAGGAACCCGATAAATTAAAAAAATGTTAAAATTTCATGTGGCATGTCAATAAAATTTTCACTTTTCAATTACGCCCAGGTTCCTGCCGAATGCCAATCAAAAGCGCCCTCGTTCTTTTAAAAGTTCTTTTTTGAAGTATCCACATCTAAACACCGTCCTTTCCTCACAGTTGTTAACATTTTTAGGAGAAACTGCGACGGACTTTTGCACAAAGTGCATTATTTTTATTTAATTTGCCGTTTTCTTAAATTTGTAGTGTGTCGACTTCTTAATTTTGAAAATGAGTTTTTTTTTTTTAATTTCGTATAGAAGTGATAAGAGAATAACGTATTTATATTTTTAATATACAAAATTCAGTATCTGTCAACAGCCATAATTATACACCCGAGACATACCGGCAATACCAATCGTCTGAATTATATCTTGAAACAAACTCGGCGGACTCATCACTTAATCATTACATCGACCTAAAGCGAAGGTCTATATTATTATTACATATAATCACTGTTTGGCCATGAAAGAATTGTCAAGATAAAAACTAAGTACGGATGAAAATCTCTAAATTTAATCTATATTCATTGCCATCGTCTTAACTAAACCTTAAATTAACCAATGATTCAATGACCTCCTGGATCAACTTCTGTAGAGTAAAGTAAAAAAAAATATCTTTGCACATCTGGGCAACGTGTACAGCATATTTGCGTCCTTTTTGAAGAATCCTAGAATTATATCCCTTATTTGATAAATAAAATTACAATATTAATTGTTATAAACAATTACTGTGGTTTCATCAATTTTCGTTCAGCACCAATTTTCGAGGATTTCATGGTTGAGCAGATCCACGAAAGTCAACGATCATCGAATAAAGATATGTTATTCAATTTTAAGAATCTTCGACAAGGTCTCATTTACAAAATCCACGAAAATTGATGTCAACTAAAATTGATGAAACCACAGTATTCACAACATTGGTCCTTGGTATATATTCTAGAAAAGAATTGAACCGTTAAAAGAAATAAAATTTGACTTATGTTAAGATTGCTTTAATAACTTATACATGTATTTTCTCACAAAAAGATTTTAAATAAGAATTTTCAAGTTTAAGAGGCGATATATGAAGAAACATTTCTTTACTGGTGCAAATATAGACCTATTGTCGCTCAGTTTAGAGTTTAAGATATCTTTGTGTCGTGTCGTATTCGAACACGTGAATAGAACAATTAATTATCACATACTGTATAGGGGGAAATTAAATCGCGATGTTAATATTCACTACATTCATGGTGTTAATAAATCCGTGAATTCAAGAAACAATGAATAAATAATCGATAAACTCCATGTTTTATTTGGAAATTTGAGACTAGACTAGCTACGATAGGTTGTTTTACATGTACATGCAGTACACGGTCGTTTGAGTAATTACGAGTAGTACTCGTCACTCAATTATTTTAATTATCAAGCTTAACCTTAATTCAAATAGGCAGATAATAACTTCAAAAGCTGTTTAATAGTCAACGCTACATCAATCAAAATACTTGGGCCCGGGGTTTGATTACCCGTGCGTAACTAATTTTACCATGCGTATTTGATACCTGCATTATCATTTAATTAGTTTTTATCAACATTTTGGTTTTAAAAATCATTCAAATAAATATCGAACTTATTGAAGATGTGGAAGGATATCATTTCGGCGAATTTTATTAACACATTTATTTCCGTCCAGTAGTTTTTCGCCGCGTTGTATTGAAGATCTTGGGTGCACATGCACTCATCGTAATAGTCATTTGACGTTTAGGGTGAAGGACTTTTAATAAATTCACTTCTTTTAATCAATTATCAATTAATTCTATCAATTTTATCTTAACCTACCCTGTTGTTCGTGAAATAGAAACAACGCTGATGAATGTCGTTTAAATGTAGCTATGGTATAGATTAAACAAATAAAGACAAGGGATGTAACTTTTATTATATGCCAATACCGCGAATTCAAGAAACCGCGATCATGTCAGATGAGAAGAAAACGTGAAAATTACAACCCGTGAAATTAAACCCCTATACATTAATCGATGCATGGAGTGATTTATCAAATATTCAAATTTTGATCCCTGTCTTAATAACTTTAGAGATGACCGGTGTAAGAACTAAGAAATACCGTATAATTGGGAAAGAATAAGATAGGACAAGTAATGTCGCATGGCCCCCAAATTTCTCAGAAAATAGATTACTTGTATATAAAAAGACACCCCAGTCTTTTGAAAGATGGAAACACCTACTTTTTATAAAACATATTAGATTTCTTCTCATTCGTCCATAAAATGAATTTTAGAGGACTTTGTTTCTGCACGATCACGAAAAATAGTAAGAATAGTAAAAATAGTAAGAATATGCAGTATTTTCAACATTCTTACGCTCTAAAAACTATGAGCGACTAAGAGTACCACTAAGATATTTTGTTATTTGAAAGCAATACATAAGAACTTCCTTTGTATAAAAAATCTTCATGGTACTCTTAGTCGCTCATGTTTAA